ATTTCACAGTTTCCAGAAAGGAGGGTGCTGTGTCAGTGGCTCACGTAGCTCAGAGCAAATGCTTGTCCTGGAGCTCTGCCCCACCCATCTGCCTGCCCTGGCTGGCGTCACCCTGCGGAGCCAGCAGCCTGGCAGAAGAGCCCCGTGGACAGGCAAAGCCCCTGCCCAGCTTGGTGGCTGGGTCCTCACAGGCCCCTGGGCAGGGCTCTGGACGACCAGTCTGACCGAGGAGGCGGCCCTGGGGGCTCTGGGCTGGCACCTGACTCCCAGGCGGGAGCCCCACCTGCACCCTCCAGCCATCCAGCATCCGTTGGCCACCTCGGCTGGGCCAGTGGGCGGGAGGAAGGCCTGGCCCCCACCAGTCCTGCGGGGCCACGTGGGGCGCCTCTGGCTCAGCTGCTGCTGCTGTGGCCACCTCCTGTGGGCAGCTGCTCCACACAGTGGGCCTCTGGTCTGGGGCCTGGCGGAAGGGTCATCGAGATTCCCGGGCTGCCCAGGGACCCCAGCCCAGCTCTGCCCTGCGGTTCTCCCAGCCCTCCTGTTGCTGGCAGTAGCCAGGGTCCAGGTGGGACTTGTGTCCCGTGCAGGTTGGCTGGCCTTGGGTCTGGGACAGCAGGGCCTCCAGGGATGGGGCTGGGCCTGAGGCGGCAGTGGCCCAAGCCCGTCAGCCGGCCCTCCCGCTTGCTGGCTTCCGGAGCCGTTCTCTCAGCCAGCCTGGCGCCCGGGCCAGGCCACCGATGTGTCCTGGGCAGAGCCGAGGTGGCTGGAGCAGGCAGCAGAGCCTGCCTCGTAACCAGGGCTGCAAGCTGGGCAGTGGGGTCACTTGGTGGGGCTGATGTGTAGCACAGATGGCTACCTCAGTGGCCTCCCCTTCTGGGGAGAGCCCCCTGTGTGACCTCTGTGATGAGTGAGGGAGAACCCAAGGCAGTGGCCCTGGACAGACTCAGTGGGCCAGGACACCTCCTGGAATAAACAGGTCCACTTAACCTGGCCCAGACCTGTGTCCTGCTCCCTTATCAGTCCTGTGGTGACGTGGGATCTGGGACCCTGGTGGCCCTGAGTCGGCAGGTCTGTGAAGCCCCCGGCAGAGGAGGTGTCGACACCGTGGGTGCCAGGTCCTGGGTCCTGGCCAAAGGGGGCTCATCCCCTCAGCCCTCTCCACTGCACAGGGCTCTGGCTGTCCCCTCCTGGACTGCGCTCGGTAGGCAAGGATTCTGCCGACAGGAAGGAGCCTTCAGCCCAGTTCCCGGCCAGAGTTGGCCCACAGCTCTGGCCCTGGCCAGGCCCCAGCGCACCAGGCTCCCAGGCAGCCCCTGCACCCGCTCTGTATGGGGTGGGCCACTGATCAGGAGGAGGGGGCTGGGGAGGTGGCAGCCCATGGCCCTGCTGGTTGGGCATGCTGCCACCACCCAAGTTCTTAGAGCTAGAAGTGACAATACGGGTGCAGATGCCCTGTCCCAGGCTGCCCAGGGGCTGGGCAGTCTTATGGAGCCAGGAGTCCTTGTCCCCACCCTAAGGGGGCTTGCTGCCCACCAGGAGAATGCCCATCTGGCAGGGCTGCAGAATCTGCTCGCAGGCCCAGGGCAGTGGGACATCACCCTGTCAGAGAGGGCCAGTGTTGGTGGAGGGGACTGGCAGGGCAGGGTGCTCCTGTCCAGGTGACCTGAGGTGTGGGCCTGCTGGCTGGGCAATGAGAGCCCTTGGCAGTGGCCGCCCTCATGGGCCAGGTCTCCACGGGGACAGGCTCTGTGTGGAGACTTCTGAGGCTCTCACAGCAGACTCAGTGCCAAGGTTGCCTGTGCCTGGAATTGGGGCGCAGGGACACCTGCTGTGACTCTGGAGAGTGGGTCCCAGAAACACTCAAGCGGAGGGCAGTGGGTCTCGGGTAGCTCCTTTCTTGTGCTTCATTCTTGAACCTACTCTAGTGAAATGGAGCCCCCTGTATGGTGGGGACAGGGGACCAGCCCTTCCTCAGCAGGAAGAGGAGAAAGGAGTGCTGGTCCCCCACAGATGGCCCCGCCTGGCACTACCCCCCAGCTACCAGGTTCTGGGGCAGGGCTCCCTGCCTTAATGGGTTCACAGAAGCCAGTTGTAAAGAGACTCCCCTAGAGGGTCCCCCAAGTTGGGAGACAGGCTGGTGTGGAGCACCGGGGCACCTAGTCTAGAGGGGCTCCATGTGGGTCTCCTGCCATAGCAGGTAGTGACATGCAGCCACCTGCAGCCTGTCCCTGGCATGTTCCCTGCCCTCGTGGAGCCAGGGTGGAGGGCTGGTGGGCCTGCAGTGCTGTCCCCCAAGGTCCCCAAGCCATGGGGCCCCCTCCTGGATGGCACAGGAACAGAGGGTTAGCAAGAACCCCTCCCAGGACCAAGATCCATCTCCTGGGTGGAGGCATGATGAGACCCCACTCCTGGACTCTGGCTTGGGGGCCCAGCCCTCCTGAGCAGGCCCACCCGGATGGCCCCTGGGGGCTGTGGCAGTTGGTTTGTTTCCTGTGCCCCTCGGAGCCTTGGGAGAGCGCTGTGTGCCTCAGTTTCCCTAGGTCCGAAGCCCTGGGGATTCTGTCCTGCCCCCTGCCTGCTGCAGTGTGGGAGAGCTCAAGGTGCAGGGTTCCCAGGCCCAGGGCCTGGAGAGATTTTTTCTCCAGACCTGACTTTTGGACTCGGTTGCTTCCCACCATCCTGGGGAGGAAGGGGTGGGCGGGGCTTCCCTGGGAGGGCCGGGGGTGGGAAGGCCTGGGGGACTTGGGGCGGGCCTGGGCGGGGCAGAGCGCTTGCAGCTGGGCGGCCACACTCATCCAACAGGCATGCCCCCCCAGGGTCCCTGGAGCAGGCCAGGGAGGCCACACTTCCCTTCCCAGCCCTGAGTCCCCCCCCTGGCTGGACACGCCTGTGGTCTGGCTGGGGCCCCTGGCAATCCCAGGCCTGTGGTCCGGGAAGTCCCTGGCTCCCAGGCACCTAGGGCCTGCTCTTCCTCTCCCCACTCAGAGGCCCCCTCCCCACCCACGTTCACAGACCCTTCCTCGGAGGCTGTGACTGGGAGAGGCCCCTCAGCTGCTGGGCCTGGCCTGGGCCGGGAGCTGGGGAAGCACAGAGCCAGGGTCCCGTGGGGCACGCCCTCTCCTGGCCCCGCTGCCTCCCTGCTGAGTCACCCTGTGTCTGGGAAGCTCCCAAGACCAAGCCAGGCGGGATGAGGCATCACCAATTCACCAACTCCCCTGCTTCCCGGGCGGGAAGCAGCTGCCCTGACTCACCTTGGGCCGGTCTGCCACCTCCCAGTGCCCAGAGTCCCTGCAACTCTGCCAGGGCCTGCCCTCCACCTCACGCCCCTCTCAATCCTGGGACAGCTCAAGCCAGGCTCACTGCCCAGGGACAGAGGTGGCAAGGTGCCAGGGCACCCTGCCGGGGTGGGGGCTGCCGCCTAGACCACCCACCGAGTGCTCCTGCTTGCAGAGCGCTCTGTGCATGTGTGTTGTGTGTGTGCAGGAGCAGCAGCCGTGACGACCAGGGAGACTCAGCCTCATCCTGGCCGCTGGACTTGGGCAGAGGGAGTAGGGTCACTGGTGACCAGGGGCAGGGATGCTGCAGGCTGGCAGGTGCACTCTGGAAGCTGGCCCAGGGCCAGCAGTGGTTCTCCATCTGCAGAGCTCCCAGCTTCCCAGGGCCATGCCGAGCGCTGGCTGGGCCCAGGAAGCCTCTGGCCACTGCCTAAGCCCAGACAAATGCTGTCTGATGCTCAGTGCCAGCCTGGCCAGGGCTTGACCCTGAGCAGCCCTAAGGGGACATTAAGAGCTGACCCATAGAGTTCTTTCTCTCTCTTCCCTCCCCACCTCCATCTTCCAGGTGTCACAGTTACTCCCCTTGCTCCCCTGGGACTGGGACACCCCTGTCTAACTAGTCAGTTAACTGGACTGAGGAGAAGGATAAAGACCCCCACTTTGGAGAAAGGCCCTGCTGCCCATGAGAGGGTGGAGACCTCTGTGCCCCCAGGGCTGGCCTGAGGACTTTGCCTGGGCCCCTACTGGGCTTGTCCCAGTGCATTACCTGAGCCCTTCCACAGAGGAATGGACAAAAGCCTTCTGCCAGGTGCACCCGCAGTGGAGATCCTTGGGATGCCCACCACTGTGGCCTGGGAACATCTAGGAAGGCCTGCAGGGCAGTTTATTCCCCATAGGCCCTGAGTGCTCAGTGCACTCTACCCAGCACCTGGTCAGTGATGGTGGTGGTAGAGTGGTGGAGGGGGTGATTGACGGTGGTGGTATGTGGTTATGTAAGTGGTGGTGGTGGAGGTGGTGTGGTTGGTGATGATGATGTTAGAGATGATGGTGGAGGAGGTGTGGTCGTTATGGGTGGTGGTGGAGGTGGTGTGGTTGTTGTTGGTGGAGGTGGTTGGTGGTGGTGGAGGAGGTGTGACTGTTGGTGGAGGTGGTGTGGTTGTTATTGGTGGTGGTGGAGGTGGTGTGGTCATTATTGGTGGTGGTGGAGGTGTTGGTGTTGGTGGTGGAAAAGGTGTGGTTGGTGGTGGTGGTGTTGGTGGTGGTGGTGGGAAAAGTGTGATTGTTATTGGTGGTGGTGACAGTGGTGGAGGTGGCGTGGTTGGTGGGGGTGGTGGTGGTGGTGTTGGCGGTGGTGGTGACAGTGGTGGAGGTGACATGGGTGGTGGTGTGGAGGTAGAAGTGGGGTGGTGGTTGGTGGTGCAGGTGTTCTTGTTGGTGACACTGGTGGTGCTGGTATCAACAGCAAAGGCTTTACAGTCCCAGGAGGGTGTCAGTCCTAGGGCCCCTGAGGTACAGGGAGGCTGAGGAACCCAGGAGACATCAGGGCCCCTGAGGGAGCGTTCCTCCTCTGACTTTGGATATATAAGACAAGCCCAGGGGGATCTTGGGGCCTGAGGAGGGCCTGTGGAGGGCCTGTGGAGGAGGGGTCCTGGGTGGTGCTGCCCTGCCCTGCCCAAAGCGCACCTGGAACCACTGCCCAGACTCACTCTGCCTCTGTGTCCACAGCCAGCAGCCGTCTGATGGGGAATTCTCCGGCCTCCTCTTTCATGGGCAGCTTCCTCACCAGCAGCCTGGGCTCTGCAGCTGCCACGCACCCTGGCGGCGCCCCCTCCGCCCCCTCGGAGCAGGCCTACCGAGGCTCCCACCCCGCCCCGGCCCAGGTCTGGTTCTCTCACTCCCATGAGGGTAAGTCCTGGGCCCCCAGCAGCACCCGGGAGCCCAGCTGGTGGAGGCTGCCTCCCGCCAAGGAAGCCCCTTGGGGAGGTGGTAATTGGTTGGAAAGGGGGGTGGCCCCGCTAGGCACCGGTCCTGGCCAGATGTGTGTTCCAGATGGGCAGAGAGGGAGAGGTGGGGGCTGGCCAGGGAGGCTCCGGAGCTGAGGAAATGTGCAAGGCAGCTGGGCGGCTGGACGGGGCTGTGCCCTCCACCGTGGCTACACCCCACTCCTCAGACTTGCGGAGGTGTGGGCTCCAGATGTGCCAGCTGGGAGGGAGGGGCAGGGAGGAGAGAGTTGTCAGCAGACACAGGCTGCCACCCGGGGCCCTGCTGAGGACAAAGAGCCCCTTCCAGGCCAGCAGCCTCCCGGCTCTGGGCCTGCAGTCGGTGCCTGGTGAGTACCTGTGGCTCTCAGACACTCTGCTGGCGGGAGGGCCCCTGGAGGCCTGCGAGGACCCCGGGGCTCCCTAGGCCTTTCCCAGGGTGGCGTGTGCCTGACCTAGTTCCCCAGGGTCTGCCTCACACCTTGTTGTGCAGTGGCCTGGGCCCCACTGTCCCCCACCCAGGAGTACTTGGTGTCCACTCAGCCGTGCCTTCCGCCGCAGCATGGGAAGGGTTAAGCCCCCTGGCTGGCACGCGGGAGGTAATTGCAGTTGGCAGCGGGCACGCAGGGCTCTTGCTCCTGGCACGGGCACTGCCGTAACTCAATGACTGCTGCGCTCGGGCCTCGTGTTTACAGAGCGCTGCGGACCCACACATCGCGCCGCCGCCCGCCTGTGTTCCAGGCAGGGAGATTAGCGCCCGGCACTGCTGGAAGCCAGAGAAACCTCTCTTTGTGCGACAAGAAAGGGGCTGTTTTCCAAACAGGACAGGTGACGAGTGAGGGACAGTTGTTAAAATAATCTGGGCTTTAGGCGCCGCTCGGAGTGCACATGTTGGGCAGGCGATAAGGAGCAGCTCCCTTCTCGGGTGGAGGAGAGGCCAGAGGGGTCCTGAGGACCAAGTGGGCACAATCATGTCCTTGGCCAAACCTCACCGGCACTCCTGCTTCCAGCCCTGGCTATCCCAGCAGCCTCCTGAGGGGACGCCAGGCTCCCTGGCCAGGCGGAGGCCCAGGCTCTGCAGGCATCATTCATCCCGGCCCCCCACCCCACCCACCCCTCTCCTTCCAGCTTTTTTGTCTGCTGGGCATCTCCTGGCCACAGCCTCCGGCTCCCAGGATGACTGTGGGAGGGAAAAGGGTGAGAGAGGGAGCAGGCAGGGACCCCTCCACAGAACCAGGGCCACTGAGGCACGTGGGCACTCCCTGTCCAGTGTTTCCCCTCCCCACACCAACAGCATCCCCTGGCCCAGGAGTGGGGCAGCCCACCCAGGCCCTGCACTGGGGGCAGGTGTTCCGCCTCCTCTCCATCCCACCCCTGGGAACCCTACCAGCAGGGAGGCCGTTGGTGGGTAGCACCACCTGTCCTGAGCCCCCTTCTGTCCCTGGGGGTGCTCAGAGCGGGGTGGGTGGCAGCCTTCAGATGGCGCCCACAACAGCCGCGCTCACTTCCCCTGTGCCAACGGCTGAGGCTGGGGCTGCCGGGCAAACCCCCACACTCAGCCCCGCCGTGGGCCCATCCTCAGCAGCACCCACTGTCCCGCCCCAGTCCAGGGCATCCACCTGGGGGTGGCCAGTACTCGAGTAGTACCCTGAGGAGCCCAGGCCCTTGGCTTCTGGGCTTTGGCCTGCACCGGGCCCTCCACCTGCCCCCTCGAGGTCTGAGTCCTGAGCGGCAGCTCCTCCGTGTCACAGGACCCGGCCCCGCTACACCAAGAAGGCTCTGTCTCAGACCAGCAGCCCCCCCTCTGCCAGCGGAGGGGTCCCCCACGCTGCCTCTAAGGTTCCGTCTCCACCATCAGCGTGGTCAGGGCGAGCTCAGGTGGGTTCACACCAGGAGAAGCAGGATGTGCCCCGAGCTGCGCCCCGCGCTCCAGGGCACCAGGCAGTGCTGCAGACTGGCATGGGGTAGGCAGGCGTCCTGCCGGTTCTACTTGGGAACAGGACAGGAGAGAGTCCTGGTCATCCGGGGATCTTACGTAGACCTTTCAGGCCGTGCCTTGGTCTGCCCTCTCCATGTCCCCCTCCTGCCTTCAGCGAAGCTCCCAGCCCCGGGATCCCCTCCCTGTGGGGGTTCCCCTGCCCTCTGCTCCCCAAGAGCCACGTGGTGCAGGCGGCTGTGAGCTGCTCTGGGAGGCAGAGGCCGGCGGGCGGGGCCAGCGAGTGGCAGTCTGGCTGGCTGCCCTGGCGGCACGCCTGGCTGCTAGTTTGACTGGGTGCCAGCTGGCTCCCGCGTGCCGGGGCCTGTTTCTCAGCCGTGTGTGTTCAGGAGGGCGGGGGGCAAGGCGGGCAGGGGGCACGCGACTCTGCCGAAGAGCCGGGCCTGGCCAGCGCAGTGGGCTGCCTGGGCGGTCTGCTCTGAGGCCTGGCCTGGCCCCCACTTCCTTCCATGGCCCCCAGGACAGGCCGGGAGCAGGTGCCAGCAGACAGTTCTCCATGCCCTCTCTGGCCCTGGGGTCTCTGTCCAGGGCAGGAAGGCCAGTGAGGGCCAGGCAAGTGGGACCCTGGGGGGTAGCCTCAGGTGCCCCCTCCTCTAGGCCGGGGGCCCTCAGCCAGCCGGAAGACCCCCCCACGCCATGTGCAGGGCAGCTGCTAGAGCGGGGGCCGGGGCTTCCTGTGTCCCTGGAACAGCTGGGGGTGCGGGGAGACACCCCGTGGTTGAAGGAGCCGCCCCAGAACATCTGGCCTGGGGCAGAGCCCGCTGGTTCAGCCCCCAGGCCTCCTGGCCCCACAGATCACCCAAGACCAGGGTTTTCACAGAGGTGGACGGCTCTGGGCACGGGGTGGGGTGGGTAGCAGAACTGGCCGGAGGCAGGGGCGAGTCCTGTCCACAGCCTGTGCTGGCCGGGTCAGAGCGGGTGTGGGTGCAGCACAGCTGGCCCTATTGTCAGTGAGTCCCTCCCGCCCTGCCCGCCGCCTGCCTGGGACCACCCACGGGCGATGAAAGGAGGTTCTGTTCCTGGGGGTGTTGGGGGCAGGAACCAAGGAGCTCCACACCAGGCCACTCACGGTCTCTCGTGCCACCTGGAGGGGGCCATGGGCACACACGCCAGTGCTGGCTGTCTCCTCTTGGTCAGAGCCACCCCTGCCCCAGTGGCCCCTTCTCCACAGGCGCCTGGCCAGGTTCCAGCGGGGGCAGGGGCCACAGGCAGAAGCCAACGAGCGTGCCCCGTTGTTCCGGATCCCACAGCCTCCTGCATCCTGCCAGCTGTCCCTCTGTCCCCTCTGTCCCCTCTGAGGCCTCAGGACTTGCCAGGACTTTGGGAGTGAGTGGGTTCCAGAGCATATCTTTGAGAGAGACAGAGGTCCACCACTGTCCTCCCACCTTGGTGGGCCAGAGTTTCCTGTGGCCTCTCGCACCGCCCCTGGAAGGGCACGCTGACGGCTGCCCCTGTCGGGCCTTTCTTCTCCGAGGCAGCCTTCCTCTCTTGCTTGCTTCCTCCATGTGAAAATGTCCCCTCGCCCCAGCCCCTCCTTGTCCCTCCAACCCCAGCCCATACCCACAGGGAGGGCCTGGCCAGTTGGGGAAGGTGGCCACTGGGAGCTCTGGGGAGACGAGGGTAGAGGGGCACGGGGAGCTCCCCCCACACCCTCTGGGGTCTCTCTTGGCCTTCTGTGGCAGGCCTCCAGACCCCCGCCTGTGCCTGCAGCCCCTCCTGGTGTCTGGTCCCAGAGCCCGAGTCTTGGCCCGGTCTCTGGTGTGGAGGTTGCTCTGGGTCCAGGAAGCCCACACATGGCCCCTGCCCACACCTGGGCGGTCACACGGTCTCAGGGCCCCTTGCAGAGCAGATGTTTAAGAGAGGGGTCTTCACAGCCCGGGGGACACATTGGACTAAAGTCTCAGTTTCCCTCTGTGGACCCAGGGGTCAGAACAGCCATTCAGACAGCTTGACACGGAGCCAGGGGCAGCGGGCAGTGCACTCCTTCCCTCTTGTGGTGGCTGTCGTTTGTGGGGTGTCAGCCCTGGTCACCAAGTCTCCCTGGGTTGGTATCCTTGGGTCTGAGGGAGGGTCTCCCCGGAAGTGTACCTGTACAGTGCGCGCTGGCCAGCGGGTCCCAGGTGTGAGGCCTGTGCTCATCAAGGACGGAGTGGAAGGCGGGTGGCGGAGCTGCCGTCCGGGATGCTGCTCAGAGTTTGGGGGCCCTCACCCGGGTTGCTCTTGGCTCCAATCTTTGAGGATTCTCAGTTGCCCTCCCCAGCCTGAAGTGGTGGTCCCGGACCCCAGCCCGGCCAACCCAGCTGGCCTGTGCTGCTCTCGGGCCTGAGGCTGGGGACTCGGGATCCTGGGCAGCCTGCCGCTGTTGTCCCAGAGGTGCCCACCCATGCCAGCCTGGCTCCTTCCCCTGGCGCTTACCGTTCCTCTCACCCAGCAGCCCAGGAGCAGGGTGCTGCAACCCCAAGGGGTCTCAGGTGGCCCCCCAACACCAGAGGCTGGACTTTGACATCTCCTGGGGGTCTGACCACCTGGGCGGGGAGGACCTGGGGAGGAGCTGCTCCAGGGCCATCCACAGGCGCTAACAAGTGGATGGCCAGCAGCCTGCAGGCTCGCTGCCCTAGCCTGCCTGCTGGTCAGCTGTGCTGCCTGTGAGGACAGCCTCAGCCTCCTCCTGACCCCATGCCGTCGTGGAACAGACTGCAGGGACGCGCACCGTGACCTGGAGTAGGTGGGAGGTCGCTGGGAGAGGGCCAGCACTGAGGTAGCGTGGGACACTGAAACATGTGGCAGAATCCTGAGTGACAGAAAGACCCTGCCAAGTCACAAGAAACAGGGGCCATTGCCCAGGCCCCAGGTTGCCTGGGTCTCCACAGGGACCGGGGCAGCTCCCCCAGGCCCACCTGCCCCTTCTGGGTGGTCAGCAGGGGCCCCGACCCCAAGCCACCCCACCTGCCTTCCCCAGCTGCCCTCCTGCCCTTCTGTCCTTCAGCCTCTTCTCCCCTGGGCCTCTGTGTCCCGGGCCTGGGCTCTGGCCTCGCAGCAGTGCAGGAGCAGACAGGTCAGGATAGGTGTCCTCGGGGACACCTCCACTGCCCCTCCAGGCTCCTTCCCCAAGATAGCCGGGGACGCCAGGTGGCGGGGGCGGCAGGCTTGCCACCATTCCTCTGGGGAGATGGCAGCGGCTCCAGCCTCAGGGAGGGTAGCTCGGGGAGGGAAGCCCTGGGCCTTGACCAGCAGCTCCGTCCCGGGCGCGAGCGCAGGCCTGAGTGTGTGGCCCTCTGCTCCTGTGCCACCCCACCTGGGGCACGGTCTCCCGAGTTGTCGCCCTGCCCGGCCACCCCAGCCTTCCGCCTGGTCTCTGGTCTCCGAGCAGCTGCTCTGATTCACAAAAATCGTTTTTATTTTCTTCCTCAGTTCAGAGAATATACAGTGTTTGGGGGAAAAGAAAAGGGCTTTTCTCACGGGGCAGGACAGACCTCTTCTCCCTGTCCCTCTCGTCCCCCGCCCCGGGGCTCCCTGCCCAGCCCCAGCTTTTCTCCTTCCTGCCCTGCCACCCCTTCCTCCTCCCCTTTACCCCAGTTCCCATCTGGGTCCTCAGGGGTTGGGGCCTGAGGCAGGCTAGAGGTGGCCAGGCCCCGGCTCCCTGGCCTGGACACCTCCAGCTGAGGCCCAGAAGCAGAGGGAGGCATGGGGCCAGCCACCCTCACACTGCCCCACAGGCCTGGGCAGGAAGGAGCCTGCTCCTGGCCATCCGAGAGCTACTCCCCAGGAGCAGAGAGCAGCGGGCGGCCAGACCCCCCAGGGGGCACAGGGAGGTCCACGCCTGGGAAACTGCGTCTGGGAAGGAGGAATTTACAGACTTCTGTTTACCAGAGCGAGGCCCGTAAAACATTTAACAGCAGCCAATTACGGGGGGGACAGCTGTGCAGGCTTAACCAGCCCCCCAGGCCCTGCCCTGCCGCTCGTCCACTCCCACCCGTCCTGAGCTCTGTCAAGCCTTCCAGGGGCTGAGCTTCATCTGGGACACATCTGCTGCAGATGTGTCCCCCACAGCAGGACGGCAGGCCAGCCTCCAGCCTTAGCTTGTCCTCAGCAGTCCTGGTGGCCGCAGGGCCAGGCCAGGGGTGGGGCGCGGTCCGCAGGTCCTGTGCTCCCAGACCTCCCTCAGCAGCCTCCAAGACAGGGTTCACCTGGACCCACGGAGTCAGAGAATGCCCAGGGCATCACCAGGGCTGGGTCCCACCTGCTACTGCCGAGTGCCCGACGGGCACGGTGCCCGTGGGGGTGGGGGACCACAGACAGGGCAGCCTTGCTCCTGTGGGTCCTGGAGTGCCCCGTCCCACCAGAACATGCCACCAGCTCTGCCTCCAAGGCCCTGACCCTCCCTGTCCCGCCCAGAGCCCACCCACCTGGCTTGGCCACTCCTTGGCCTCAGCCTGCACAGGGCTGCCTCTTGGCCTCTTCCTGGTGCTCAGGTGGGCTTCCTGGCTGCCAGCCATTCAGAGATTTCCCCAGCACTGAGATGGAACGTCCAGGCCGTGCTGGCCTCCATCAGCCCCAGTAGCCAGGTAGCTCAGCCTCTGGCAGGGCAGATGCCCCAGCCTTCTGAGGATGTGGGGACAGACATGGGACTGGAGAGCTGACCTGCAGTTCTGACTTCCGACACAGTGTTTCTGAGTGTTCTGTGGAGCCTCAGCCCGCGAGTTGTTAAAGGAGTCTGCTAAACAGCAGCGGGTGCTATGATAGAAGAAGATCAGGAGCCAGGGGCAGTGGGTCACACCTGCACCCACCTACCCGGGAGGCAGGAGGATCCCAAGTTCAAGGCCAACCTCAGCAACTTAGTGAGGCCCTGTCTCAAAAAGCTCAGTGGTAGAGCCCCCCTGGGTTCAATGCCCAGTACCAAAACAAAAATTTAAATAATTTTTTTT